TATTATAATTATAAATTTTAAATATAATATTATAAAAATATTTTGGAAAATTTGTACATAAAATAATTTTTTTTATATACGAATAATTAAGTTTATATTCATTATTAAATTAATAATATTTTAAAATTACTATAATTTTGATTAAATGTATTGAATCATGTATTGAATATTAATTATATGTATATTTATTCATACATATATAATATATTTTATTTATATTATATATTCTATATAAAATATTTATAAAAATATATAATAATATAGAATAAATATAGAATATTTTGAATAATCAATTCTAGATATCAAAACAATAAAAAAAAGTTTATTTATACATATGGTTATTTAATGAATTATAAGCAGTTGAAATTTATATTAGATTGAGTGAGATGACGATAAAGAGGCATTCAATTGAGCACGTAGTAGTACTGTACCGCAATGTCGCTTGTATCGAAATTTTATCTCAAGGAAAAGATAATTTATTGATATCCTTTTAAAAATACAATTAATTCTTTCAGAATTTTAATATAATATGCAATCTATGTATATCATAAAAAAGAAATAAATTTTATCTTTTTTTATAAATGAATTTTAAAATGAAATTCATTTATTATTTAACAAAAATTTATTTCGAAATTACAAATTACAATATATTTCATTATATTTAGCACTAATACAATGATTATACCATATTTTATTTAAAATCATAGATAAATTCATTATATTATATTGAAGCTATCTAGAATTTATAGAAACCAAATTAAAATCCATCCTTAAAGGATTTTGAATTGGAAAGATTGAATGTTTTTCTACATATAATTTGTCTATTTAAATATCTTATATGTAAAAAATTAAATTATAATTTTATTTAAAAAATTAAAGTCTATTTTAATAAAAAACTATAAACAAACTATATTCTTTTTTAGCAAGAATATATACAAAAAAGATTTGAAATAATACTAGAAAAAAATTTGATTTGTTATATAAAAGTAAATAAAATAAATTTTTATATATGAGACTTTACTTTTGAAAAAATTTTTTTAATTTGTTAAATGTTTTTTATATCTTTTATGAAATAATAAAAAAAACAAATGAAATTTAAAATTAAAAAAAAATAAAAATGCTTATCATTAAATTCAGAAAATCTTTTAAATAATATATATTAAATAAATAATTACATATAACTGATAAAAAAATTATATAAAAGAATATTATATAAAGAATAAATAAAAAAATAAATTAAAAATTAATATTCTAAATTATAATTTTCTAAATTATATAATTATATTTTATAAAAAAAGTAAATTTAATATTTTTAAATTAATAATAATAATAATTAATATCTATATAAAAAAATAATTGTATATTTAAAAAAAATATTTTTTTAAAATTATATTGTAGTTCTTATTATTTATTAAATGAAATTAATCTGTTCATATTTATTTGTTTTAATTTCATTTACTCTTAATTTTTTCTTTGTATTATATACATTACTTATATTATACTTGATTTTTTATCAAATGTCACTTGAACTTAGTTTTCTTCTAGTCATACAAATTCAAGAGGTTTGTTGTAAAAATAATTTATATTGCTCATAATATATTTTTTTAATATAACTTAATCATATATGTAAAATTATTTTAGCTTAATAATTATTTAATTAATTACATCAAACCTTACATACCTTTATAGAGTACCGCATTATATGTATAATGAACATAACCTAAAAAGTAAAAATATTAAAGATCATAGTAGTATTAATTTTAAATGAAATAATTAAAAAATGTAATAATTTGAAAATAATTATTTGAAGTATAAATTTAAAATTATATTACAAAGATAGAAATTTAAAATATTCATTGCATGATATTATTTTTTTGTAAATTCAT